CACACACACTACACCCAACACACACACTACACCCAACACCCACACTACACCCAACACCCACACTACACCCAACACACACACTACACCCAACACACACACTACACCCAACACACACACTACACCCAACACACACACTACACACTGTATCTCCCGTCAGCTTGGGTCGGGTCGTGATGGCGTCATTTGCTCACTCTGGTTCAGCTGGTAATTGTCGGTACATCATAATATCCCACAGTGACGTAAAAACCATATTACGAGGGCCATATTGGTAATCACTTCCGGTAATAATAGTGGGAGAGTCTTTTTTCCGGGTCATATTTGAACTCTATTGTGTGTGTGTGTGTGTGTGTGTTTGAAATTTAAACATTTTCGTGGTTGAGGATTTGGTTAATTTACATATCTATTCCTAGTTTAAATTATATACATAACATTTGTATTGGTTAAAGTATAATAGTATTCGCCAAGTTTTAATAGTAAAAAAAGTATGTTTTATAAGTATTTTTCTACGATAATACTCTTACGTAATTTTAAGTAAGGATAGTAATAAGTGTACTTGTAGGTGTATCGCAAGGTGTAAAGTGTAATTCATAATTCTCGTCAAAATGATTCGTGGCTTCGTGTGACACATCGAACCTTCTGAGCGAACCTTTTGGGAAATTGTATCGAGACAGTTTATTCAAGTGTTATATTATAGGTTAGGTCAGGTTAAGTTAAAGTTAGGTTAGTTTAGATTAGGTCAGGTTACAGTAGAAGCTCAGGGCAATATCCATGTCATTTTGGCCACCGCCTTTTGTGCCCCATCCAAACATAGCCACTTTTATGTTTCTTCTCAGAGACTTGGTCGTATTTAGATGCATTCTCTCATCCCCTGTTGAGTGTGTGTGTGTGTGTGTGTGTGTGTGTGTGTGTGTGTGTGTGTGTGTGTGTGTGGCAAAAAAATAAAAATAAATACAAAATAGTAGTAGTAGCAATAATACGACGTATCATGTATCAAGTCGTTCCTTATCGCGTCGTGTCGTACTGTATGCTGTATCAATTCTTATTATGTCGTGTCACATTGTGTATCCATCATGTAGCGTTGAACCTATCCTGTCGCGTCGTGTCGTGTGTGGCGTGATGCTGTGTGACGCGGCAGGATAAACAGCGGCTGTGGGTAATGTTCTGCCGGCCTCACAGCCTCTTGGAGACAGTGAGACAAGGTCGGGCCGCTCCTGTGACGGCATCAGCGGCGAGAGAGAGAGAGAGAGAGAGAGAGACAGAGAGAGAGAGAGAGATACTGTACATCAACCTTGACCCAATGATCGTCTTGCTTTCCTCACATGACTTGGGTTAGTGGGCTCTCAGGTACACCAGTGAGAGAGAGTTAATCCCTGGTTGTTGATCACATACGGTGGTATAGGTAGACCTGGACGAGCTATACCAACCACACGTTTGGCTGTCAGGAACTCATGTGTGTTTTTTGTTGCTGTAAGTCAGGTTGTTTGTGGCATATACCCCAACCGGATATCTCTCTCTCTCTCTCTCTCTCTCTCTCTCTCTCTCTACACGGACCCGGAAACATCAGGTCGTCAGGTTCCAGTACAATTGACTGCCTCGCTGTCGTACTCTCGTGAGATATAGAACGACTAGATTGGTGTCAGGCTGTATAGTGTGGTGTGGTGGTGTTGGGGTTGAATTGCATGTGGTGGTTCTTGGCGTTGCGTAATTAAACTGTGGTAGGATTGCTGTGGTAGGTTTGCTGTGGCGTTGGATACCATGGTGTGTGTGTGTGTGTGTGGGTAGAGAAGGCAGGCGGGGGTTGTGGCTTTGTAGGCGGTTGCAAGTGGGTATTGCAAGAGATGTGATTGCACTGCGGGGCAAGTTGTGGTGTTGCATGTGAGTGTCGATGTGCTCGGCTTGAGATACCATTGACTTGCACTTATTGATTAAGGTGGGCCATTGGCAAGCGTGTACAGGTCCTAACCCCCACCCTCCAAAACACACACACACACACACACACACACACACACACACACACGGTCTCTGGTTCACGTTGGGATGGCAGGGCAGCACAGTGGAACGGCCATCGCTAACCACCAAACTGAAAGGGGGTTGATTCGGACTGTATGGTCAGGGCTGGAGGGGTTCGGTATAAACGTCTGGAAGAGGAGGAGAAGCGGTAAGAGGAAGATATGGAAGAAAAGGAGGAGAAAGGGGAAGTTGTGGAAGAGGAAGATGAGAAGGAGAAAAAAGGAATATGTGGGTAGAGGAGGAGAAAGGGGAAGTATTGGAAAAAGAGGAAGAAGAATAGGGGGAGGAGGATAAAGTATTGGAAGAAGACGGGAAGAAAGAGAAAGTATTGGAAGCAGAAGAGGAGGATTGGAAAGGAGAAGAGGAGGAAGAAGAAAGGGAAGAGAAGGAAAAAGAGGAAGTATGGGAGGAAGAAAAAGAGGGGGAAGAGGAGAAAGGAGTTTGTGGAAAGGGAAGAGCAATCTGGTAATGGAGCGAGTGTGGCCGGAAGCAACTTCGAGAAAGAGTCTTGAGGGAAAATTTTTAAAGATGAGGAAGAGAAGGAAGAGGCCTGTGTGTGTGTGTGTGTGTGTGTGTGTGTGTGTGTGTGTGTGTGTGTGTGTTTTAAGAGTGAATAATATATTTACAAACACAAGCAGGCGGATTTTGATGAATTTACATACCTAACCGAACCGAACCGAATCGAATGCCGTAAAGGAAGGTCAGGTTTAAGGCTTCGTACTCTGATGACCCCCATCTTGTTGTTATTTTGTGGTGCCCTTATAGTCATTACCTCCTCCTCCTGTTGGTTAAATTGGTCTACAGTAGTTAATGTTCGTTGTGCTCCGTGTAGGGTGTTTGTGTACTAGTCTCTCTCTCTCTCTCCGTGCCTTTATCTCTTCCTCTCCGTCTTTATCTCTTTCTCTCTCTCCGTGCCCTTATCTCTTTCTCTCTCTCCGTGCCCTTATCTCTTTCTCTCTCTCCGTGCCTTTATCTCTTTCTCTCTCTCCGTGCCTTTATCTCTTTCTCTCCCTCTCCGTGCCTTTATCTCTTTCTCTCCCTCTTTATCTCTTTCTCCCTCTCCGTCTTTATCTCTTTCTCTCCCTCTCCGTGCCTTTATCTCTTTCTCTCTAGTTTAGTTAATAATTTCAAACCTCCAATTGGTTCATTTTTGCTTCGTAGTTTCATGTCTGCAGTTTTTTTTTTTAATTTTACGGAAACATTTCATCACTGTCGGGAAATAAACAGCTAATTCCTTTAAAATATTTGTACAGGTAAATAATCAATTAATTATTTGATAGATGAAAACACAAGCAATGCGTTAAGTATTTTGAACCAAACTCGAAGCATAAGAATTCAGTGTGGCGTCGTTGGTTCGTCACCGTGCTTGATACTTCGAGCACAGTAAACAAACTCTGGCAGACGGACGACTCAGAAAGAATTGTAACAAGTCTAGTGTATATATCGCTGGTCTCTCTCTCTCTCTCTCTCTCTCTCTCTCTCTCTCTCTCTCTCTCTGATACGTATAACAACATTTAAGATACTCAGTTTCGAATTAAGGATCATTTCCCTGGTTCAGCTGTTCGAATTAAGGTTCATATTCCCGATACTCTGATTCGAAATAGGATTTATTGTGTGGTTAGTGATGTAGTGTGGCAATTGTAGTCATCCAGGGAGGTTGTGTGTGGGTGGCCTCCTGCAGTACTACACTTCTAAAAAAAATATTCACCTGAATATTAACCACCTTAGTTTTAACCTTTCCTAACCTGATTCTGCAAGTAGCTTAAGAGTGGTTAATCTTCAGGAGAAATAGGCTAGGGTAGATAATTTTCAGGTGAGACCATAGATAAGTACTGCATCCAGACGTGTTTTAGGTAAAGATAATTTGAGTGCGTAATCTTGCAACGAGGATGATCACAAATATTTATTGGAATATCTTAATGAAACTCTAGTATGGTATGTATTTTGAGTTTACATGAAAAACAAAAATTATTACAGGATTATGTGAACTTAGCTTTGAAGTTCCCTTAGGCAGAGCATCACCCTCCGACTGCTTGTTTACAAATGGCGTTGGTGGGTTATGGCAGTAAAGCGTTTTATTGAAAACTGATACAACTCAAACTACTCTCGCTTAATTATGTTAGAATGTTTTGTTATTGTTTTTGTCTTAGTTATGTGAGGTTGTTTTTGTTTTTGAAAAGAATGTTAAAGTCCAAACATTTAAAAGAAAATTTAATAAAAAATTACCTCTTGAATTTCAAATGTATCTTTCTCCCTTTCAGGTTTATTCTCTTGTGTCTTTCTGTATCTTTTTTTTTGCTTGTCTGTGTGTTTGTCCTGTATATGTAAACAAATAAGTTTACTGGGTAATGAAGGTCGATTAAATTTACCACAAGTTATTGTTTCAGGGTGACTGACGTTGGTGAGAGGCGACGGACCTTGGAAGATCGGCAAGCCCTCCAACCCCTCCACCTCAACTCTACACACGTGAGTAACATACACACACTTATCGAACGTTTCTATTGCATTTTAGGGAATATTAAGAGGTTTAAAGGGAAATTTCTGACGTTTTAGGGATTAGTCTGATATTTAAGGGAATTTTCTGACGTTTGGGATTTTTGTACGTTTTAGGCTGCATTTACACCGAGCCAGTCAAGTCAAGTCAAGTCAATTAAGTCATTTGACTTGACTTGACTTGACTTGACTTGACTGGCTTGGTGTAAATGCAGGTTTTGGGAATTTTGGCACAGGTTAGGGTATTTCTTTGACATTTGGGGATATTCAAAGATATTTCAGGTCATTTTGTGTAAACCAATCTCACTATTTAGGATGTTGATGAAATCTAGGGTAAGATTTTTTCCAACCTCCCTGTTTTTGTCCCGAATCCAGGAAAAAAAAGTCACAATACAAACACAGTACAAACAAACATATATTTCATGTAGATCCACAATGGAAACATGGGTTAGATAAATCTTGATAAAATCACACATCTCCAGTTGCCTCTGAAGATGTGTTGAATAAAGCTAAGTTACTCCATTGTTTCCCTTTTTCCTGTGTGATTTTATCAAGACAAACATATATGTATAAAGGTCACCTCAACGTGACCTCACACCAAACACCTAGTCAAAAAAAATTACCTGATTAGACAACCTGTGGTCACAATGACTTCACCTGACTGGATTAAGGTAAGTCAGGTGAGGCCACTGTGACCACAGGTTGTCTAATCAGGTAATTTTTTTTGACTAGGTGTTTGGTGTGAGGTCACGTTGAGGTGACCTATATACATATATAACCTTGTCCCTCTGTATATTTTGTTAGTATTTAGTGAAAATTAATTTTTACGCCTCTAGTCATGGAAATTATTGACAGTAATAAGCGTGGTTCAAAATTCTGCAACAATGGGTACTTGTATACCAAACGTGTCACTCGCAAAACCAAGTTGCAGTGGATGTGTGTTAAAAGATCCAGTGGTCACTGTTGGGGCAGTATGACGAGAAACCTACAGAGAGAGATAGGCCAGCCTCACAACCATGCCCCAGATCAGTCCCAAATCCATCTTGCCAAAGTACGCAACTGGATGAAAGACCAAGCTACCAACACCCGAGATAAGCCAGCTCAGATCTACAGTCATGGTGTGAGCCAGTGTGATGATGACGTATGAACACTTATACCATCTGCTGATACTGGCAAACGAACTCTGCTCAACCAACGGCTGACTCCACCTGTACCACGTCTGCTAAAAGATCTAGGTGAAATTCCTATTGAGTTTGCTGACAGTTGGCCCTAATCAAGGGAGTTTTTACTCTATGATAAGAGACCAAATGTAAACAACAGCATTCTAGTGTTTGGTACCAGTGGTGGCTTCAGACACCTTGCTGGTGCTGTTACTGTATATATGGATGGCAACTTTGCTATGGCTCCAAACATATCCGTGTGCCTTTTGGTGATACAGCTATTATTTCAGTGTACTCTCTTCTTCCAAGCAAGACTCGTGCCACCTACGAAGAACTCTTTCAGGCTATAGTTGATAAATGTGCAGACCTGAACTACAATACCAACGTGCAAACCGTGGTGACCGACTTCGAGGATGTTGCTGTTCCCACCCTCTACCTGTTGCTGTTCCCACCCTCTCTACCTATTGTTGTTCCCACCCTCTCTACCTATTGCTGTTTCCACCCTCTCTACCTATTGCTGTTCCCACCTCTACCTATTGTTGTTCCCACTCTCTCTACCTATTGTTGTTCCCACCTTCTCTACCTATTGTTGTTCCCACCCTCTCTACCTATTGTTGTTCCCACCCTCTCTACCTATTGCTGTTTCCACCCTCTACCTTTTGTTACCACTCTACCTATTGTTGTTCCCACTCTCTCTACCTATTGTTGTTCCCACCCCCTCTCCCTATTATTGTTCCCACCATCTACCTGTTGTTGTCCTCACCCTCTCCCTATTATTGTTCCCACCATCTCCCTGTTGTTGTCCTCACCCTCTCTACCTGTTGTTGTTCCCACCCTCTCCCTATTATTGTTCCCACCATTTACCTGTTGTTGTCCTCACCCTCTCTACCTGTTGTTGTTCCCACCCTCTCTACCTATTGTTGTTCCCACCTCTCTACCTAATGTTGTTCCCACCCTCTCTCCCTTTTTATTGTTCCCACCCTCTACCTGTTGCTGTTCCCACCTCTACCTATTGTGTGTTCCCCTTCTACCTATTGTTGTTCCCACCTCTACCTATTGTTGTTCCCACCCCTCCCTATTATTGTTCCCACCCTCTCTACCTGTTGCTGTTTCCACCCTCTACCTGTTGCTGTTCCCACCTCTCTACCTGTTGCTGTTCCCACCTCTACCTGTTGCTGTTCCCACCCTCTACCTATTGTTGTTCCCACCTCTCTCTACCTATTGCTGTTCCACCCTCTCTACCTGTTGTTGTTCCACCCTCTATCTGTTGCTGTTCCTACTCTCTGCCTGTTGCTGTTCCCACCCTCTCTACCTGTTGCTGTTCCCACCCTCTCTGCCTGTTGCTGTTCCCACCCTCTCTACCTGTTGTTGTTCCCACCCTCTCTCTGCCTGTTGCTGTTCCCACCCTCTCTACCTGTTACTGTTCCCACCCTCTCTGCCTGTTGCTGTTCCCACCCTCTCTGCCTGTTGCTGTTCTACCCCTCTCTGCCTGTTGCTGTTCCCACCCTCTCTGCCTGTTGCTGTTCCCACCCTCTCTGCCTGTTGCTGTTCTACCCTCTACCTGTTGTTGTTCCCACCTCTCTGCCTGCTGTTCCCACCCTACCTGTTGTTGTCCTCACCCTCTCTGCCTGTTGCTGTTCCCACCCTCTCTACCTGTTGTTGTTCCCACCCTCTGCCTGTTGCTGTTCCCACCCTCTTTACCTGTTGTTGTTCCCACTCTCTATGCCTGTTGTTGCCTCACCCTCTCTGCCTGTTGCTGTTCCCACCCTCTCTACCTGTTGTTGCCCCACCCTCTCTGCCTGTTGCTGTTCCCACCCTCTCTACCTGTTGTTGTCCTCACCTCTACCTGTTGCTGTTCCCACCCTCTCTACCTGTTGTTGTTCCCCACCCTCTCTACCTGTTGTTGTCCCTCACCTCTCTACCTGTTGTTGTTCCCCACCCTCTCTACCTGTTGTTGTTCCCACCCTCTCTGCCTGTTGCTGTTCCCACCCTCTGCTTGTTGCTGTTCCCACCCTCTCTGCCTGTTGTTGTTCCCACCCTCTCTGCCTGTTGCTGTTCCCACCCTCTCTACCTGTTACTGTTCCCACCTCTCTGCATGTTGCTGTTCCCACCCTCTGCCTGTTGCTGTTCCCACCCTCTCTGCTTGTTGCTGTTCCCACCTCTACCTGTTACTGTTCCCACCTCTCTGCCTGTTGCTGTTTCTCCTCTCCTGTTGCTGTCCTCCACCCCTCTCTGCCTGTTGCTGTTCCCCACCCTCTCTCTGCCTGTTGCTTTGTTCCCACCCTCTCTCCTGTTGCTGTTCCCACTCTCTGCCTGTTGCTGTTCCCCCTCTCTGCCTGTTGCTGTTCCCATCCTCTGCCTGTTGCTGTCCACCTCACTGCCTGCTGCTGTTCCCACCCTCTGCCTGTTGCTGTCCCACCCTCTACCTGTTACTGTTCCCACCCTCTCTGCCTGTTGCTGTTCCCATCCTCTGCCTGTTGCTGTTCCCACCCTCTCTGCCTGTCGCTGTTCCCACCCTCTCCTGCTGTTGCTCCCACTCTCTCTTTGTTGTTCCCACCCTCTCCCTATTATTCTCCCACCTCTCCCGCTGCTGTTCCCACCCTCTCTGCCTGTTGCTGTTCCCACTCTCTCTGCCTGTTGCTGTTCCCATTCTCTCTGCCTGTTGCTGTTCCCACCCTCTCTGCCTGTTGCTGTTCCCACCCTCTCTGCCTGTTGCTGTTCCCACCCTCTGCCTGTTGCTGTTCCCACCCTCTCTGCCTGTTGCTTTTCCCACCCTCTCTACCTGTTTGTTCCCACCCTCTGCCTGTTGCTGTTCCCACCCTCTGCCTGTTGCTGTTCCCACCCTCTCTGCCTGTTGCTGTTCCCACCCTCTCACCTGTTACTGTTCCCACCCTCTCTGCCTGTTGCTGTTCCCACCCTCTCTGCCTGTTGCTGTTCCCACCCCTCTACCTGTTACTGTTCCCACCCTCTCTGCCTGTTGCTGTTCCCACCCTCTGCCTGTTGCTGTTCCCACCCTCTGCCTGTTGCTGTTCCCACCCTCTCTGCCTGTTGCTGTTCCACCCTCTGCCTGTTTGTTCCCACCTCTGCCTGTTGCTGTTCCCACCCTCTCTACCTGTTACTGTTCCCACCCTCTGCCTGTTGCTGTTCCCATCCTCTCTGCCTGTTGCTGTCCTCACCCTCTGCCTGTTGCTGTTCCCACCTCTCTGCCTGTTGCTGTTCCTCCCCTCTCTACCTGTTGTTGTTCCCACCTCTCTGCCTGTTGCTGTCCCACCCTCTCTGCCTGTTGCTGTCCCACCTCTCTACCTGCTGTTCCCACCCTCTCTGCCTGTTGCTGTTCCCACCCTCTGCCTGTTGCTGTTCCCTCTCTGCCTATTGCTGTTCTCATCTCTGCCTACTGTTCCACCCTCTCTACCTGTTACTGTTCCCACCTCTGCCTGTTGCTGTTCCCATCCTCTCTGCCTGTTGTTGTCCCCACTTCCTCTGCCTGTTGCTGTCTCTCACCCTCTCTGCCTGTTGCTGTTCCCACCCTCCTACCTGTTGCTGTTCCCACCTCTCTGCCTGTTGCTGTTCCCAACCTCTCTGCCTGTTGCTGTTCCCACCCTCTTACCTGTTGCTGTTCCCACCTCTGCCTGTTGCTGTTCCCACCCTTCTCTGCCTGTTGCTGTTCCCACCCCTCTGCCTGTTGCTGTTCTACCCTCTGCCTGTTGCTGTTCCCACCCTCTCTGCCTGTTGCTGTTCCCACCCTCTGCCTGTTGCTGTTCCCACCTCTCTCTACCTGTTGCTGTTCCCACCCTCTCTGCCTGTTGCTGTCTCCATCCTCTACCTGTTGTTGTCCTCACCCTCTCTGCCTGTTGCTGTTCCCACCTCTCTGCTTGTTGCTGTTCCCACCCTCCTGCTGCTGTTCCACCCCTCTCTGCCTGTTGCTGTTCCCACCCTCTGCCTGTTGCTTTTTTCCCACTCTCTCTCTGCCTGTTGCTGTTCCCATCCTCTGCCTGTTGCTGTTCCTCTAATTCTCTGCCTGTTGCTGTTCCCACCCTCTCTACCTGTTGTTGTTCCCACCCTCTCTGCCTGTTGCTGTTCCCACCCTCTCTGCCTGTTGTTGTTCCCACCCTCACTGCTGTTGTTTCTCCCACCTCTCTGCCTGTTGCTCTTCCCACCCTCTGCCTGTTGCTGTTCCCACCCTCTCTGCCTGTTGCTGTTCCCACTCTCTACCTGTTGCTGTTCTACCCTCTCTGCATGTTTCTGTTCCCACCTTCTCTGCCTGTTGCTTTTCCCCACTCTCTCTGCCTGTTGCTGTTCCCACTCTCTGCCTGTTGCTCTTCCCACCTCTCTCTGCCTGTTGCTGTTCCCACCCTCTCTGCCTGTTGCTCTTCCCCACCCTCTCTACCTGTTGTTGTTTCCACTCTCTGCTGTTGCTCTTCCCACCCTCTGCCTGTTGCTCTTCCCCACCCTCTGCCTGTTGCTCTTCCACCCCCTCTCTGCCTGTTGCTGTTCCCCCTCTCTGCCTGTTGTGTTCCACCCTCTCTGCCTGTTGCTGTTCCCCTCTCTCTACCTGTTGTTGTTTCCACTCTCTCTGCCTGTTGCTGTTCCCACCTCTCTCTGCCTGTTGCTTTTCCCCACCCTCTCTACCTGTTGTTGTTTCCACCTCTGCTCTGTTGTTGTTCCCACCCTCTGCCTGTTGTTGCTCTTCCACCCCTGCCTGTTGCCTTCCTCTCTCTCTGCCTGTTGCTGTTCCCACCCTCTCTTGCCTGTTGCTGTTCCCACCCTCTCTACCTGTTGCTGTTCCCACTCTCTCTGCCTGTTGCTGTTCCCACCCTCTGCCTGTTGCTCTTCCACCCTCTCTGCTCTGGCTGTTCCCCACTCTCTGCCTGTTGCTGTTCCCACCCTCTCTCTGTTGCTGTTCCCACCTCTCTGCCTGTTGTTCCAACCCTACCTGTTGTTGTTTCCACTCTCTCTACCTTTTGTTGTTCCCACCTCTGCCTGTTGCTGTTCCCTATCTCTGCCTGTTGCTCTTCCCACCCTCTCTGCCTGTTGCTTTTCCCACCCTCTCTGCCTGTTGCTGTTCCCACCCTCTACCTGTTGCTGTTCCCACTCTCTCTGCCTGTTGCTGTTCCAACCTCTCTCTGTTGTTGTTCCACTCTCTACCTTGTTGTTCCCACTCTCTGCCTGTTGCTGTTCCCACCCCTGCCTGTTGCTGTTCCCCACCCTCTCCTGTTGCTGTTCCCACTCTCTCTGCCTGTTGCTGTTCCCACCCTCTCTACCTTTGTTGTCTCTCACCCTCTCTACCTGTTGCTGTTCCCACCCTCTGCCTGTTGCTCTTCCCCACCTCTCTGCCTGTTGCTGTTTCCCATTCCTCTCTGCCTGTTGCTGTTCCCACCCTCTCTCTGTTGCTGTTCCCAATCTCTCTACCTGTTGTTGTTTCCACCCTTCTCTACCTGTTGCTGGTCTTACCCTCTCTACCTGTTGCTGTTCCCCACTCTCTACCTGTTGTGTTCCTTTTCTCCTGTTGCTGTTCCACCTCTCTACCTGTTGTTGTTTCCACCCTCTCTACCTTTGTTGTCTCCATCCTCTCTGCCTGTTGCTGTTCCCACCCTCTCTACCTGTTGCTGTTCCCACTCTCTCTGCCTGTTGCTGTTTCCCACCTCCTCTGCCTTGTTGCTCTTCCCATCTCTCTGCCTGTTGCTGTTCCCCACTCTCTCTGCCTGTTGCTGTTCCCACCCTCTCTGCTCTGTTGCTGTTCCCACTCTCTGCCTGTTGCTCTTCCCCACCCTTCTGCCTGTTGCTGTTCCCACTTCTCTGCCTGTTGCTGTTCCCACCCTCTCTCTGCCTGTTGCTGTTCCCACTCTCTCTGCCTGTTGCTCTTCCCATCCTCTCTACCTGTTGCTGTTCCCACCTCTCTCTGCCTGTTGCTGTTCCCACCCTCTCTGCCTGTTGCTGTTCCCACCCTCTGCCTGTTGCTGTTCCCACTCTCTACCTGTTGCTGTTCCCACTCTCTCTACCTGTTGCTGTTCCCACCCTCTCTATCTGTTCCTGTTCCTACTCTCTCTACCTGTTGCTGTTTCCACCCTCTATCTGTTGCTCTTCTCACCCTTTACCTGTTGCTGTTCTCACCTTTTACCTGTTCCCATTCCCACTTGCTGTTCCAACCTTGTCTACTTTTGTATTAGGATTAGGTGGAATAATTCTTGTTGTATACTTAATGTTTTGTTTTTTATATAAAGGTGATTGAGCTTATGAGTCAATTAGGCACAATATGAGACCATGGACGATAAATTTTGGTATATGAGGGCCGTCACTATAGCGCATTTTTTCCCAGCTGAGAAAAGATGCCCCGCCTCCTCCATCAAAAGTTACAGCTGATTGGCTATTGCAAACCTGTCCGTTTTTGTCCTGAAGTAATGGTGTATTTCTAAATGAGTTTATTCATAATCGTTGGGATGACTGTTTCTGACGAGAAAGATATTTAGCTAAATTATATAAAGATGCATACATTCATTATTTCAAACATAAGCATGTAAGAAGTTTATCAGAAGTATTATACATGAATTAACTGTTAAACTCTGGTAGCAAATTCACACTTTCAGAGGATGCATTTAATATATACTTATTTTTACCCACAATAAGGCATATTAAGACAAATTACTTATTAGTTATACTGTACTACATTATGCAAAACTAACATTTTAAAAGATCAGAATCACATTGAAATATTACACGACCGTCTACAGAGGTGGGAAATATGACTGCGAACAACTTCATAATTTTTTACTGTCAGGGCTTTCTCTTGGGAAATCTTACTTAGTTTTGTTATTTTTGCAATAGTATGACCCCATATGCTTATAATTTATTATTTTTTTAAGTTTGTTTTATTATTTCCACCACTTGTCAGCTTATTAGCCATTCAGAAGGTAGGTCTCTTCATTAGTACACCCTTCACTGTCCTGTGCTAGTACTGGAGGAAACAGGGGTGCAGTATCCATAGAAAACCTGTAATGTTTGATAGTGTCAGACTGATTAACACTTGTCTCACACTTAACCCAGGGAATAAACCTGTGATGCAGTTCTGTTCTGAAGATTTTTATTTGATTAGTAGGTATTGAGACATGTATCCTTTTTTATTTTATTAATATGTAAAACTTTGATGTGGATAGATTTCCTGTAGGTGGGCTCTGATCAGTTGCTCCACATAAGACAGTTGATAGACTTGGAAGTTTGCTGATGTCACTAACCCTCTCGTTGATTTTCAGATGGGACCTTCTAAAGGGGGCGGTGAAGCAGGAGGTGGAGGGAGAGAGACAGAAGAAAGTAAAGATGCTGGAGGAGGAGGAGGAGGAGGATGTACCCCGGGTCAGGACCTGTTGTCGTGGTGCCAGATGGTGACCCGGGGCTACAAGGGCGTCAAGATCACCAACATGACCACCTCCTGGAGGAATGGGCTTGCCTTCTGTGCCATCGTCCACCACTTCAGACCAGACCTTGTGTGAGTACCGGAGCAGGTTTACCTTTGAGGCCCAGCCAGGGAGTGGGAGGTGGGGAGGAGGTTGGTCGCGGATAGTACTAAGGGTGCTGATGGTATGGCTGCATTATAATTAAGATGTTATAACTTTATAAGCAGGCTAATTAACATTGAGTATACTGTACACTGAAGGAAGGAATGTAAGATTGTTGTAATATATACATACATACCAAGACATGTATACATTTATAACTATGATTACTCCATAGTTTCTTCATACTGGAGTTCCCTCCTTTCACCTGTTCTCCTCTGCTTACAAAATAATTCTTAGGAATCAAGAATATCATAGATAATATTTTACGTCATCTGCAAAAAGTGTTCATTTTAAGCAACCAAATTATATCAGTGAATGTTAACTATATACAGTACAGTATAAGTAACCAAGAACACTGAAGGTTAGGGTGAAATAATTGTTCTTTTTTTTATTTTCTGTATTGTACGGGATAATGAGGTATTTAATTCATCTTGTGTCCGCAGAGAATATGAGAGCCTGTCCCCGCAAGATGTGAAAGGCAATTGTAAGAAGGCCTTTGAAGCTGGTGAGAGATTAGGGGTGACCCGCCTGATTGAGCCCCAAGACATGGTAATACTCACAGTGCCTGATAAATTAGCTGTCATGACCTACCTGTATCAACTCAGGGCTCATTTTACAGGTATGTAGCTTCATTTCTTCCTGGTTTTCACATTTATAGGTATTTTGTTTTATCTCCTCTACTGAATCATCTATATGCCTTTTTCTCATCAACAACACTTGAGGCGCTCAGCATTAGAAGGGGATGAAGCGCCAGATTTAAAAAGCGGAGAAAAACGTGTTTAAAGTTTTTTAAGTTCAAGCAACCATAACTTTGTTGTTTTTAAAGCTAGAAGGTTCTTTTTTTGTTTATCTTGTAGTTCAATCCCTCTCCTAGCTAATTGTGAAAACTGGAAGTTAGTACAGTACTGTGAATAGTTATTATTTTATTGCGAGTTGAATTTTCTTATTATTATGGGCTATTACTGTAAAACACGCTAATGATCACCAAAAACAACACTCGTCTTACACACCCCCCCCCTAAAAATTAAATAATAATAAAAACTCATCTACCTATCAGTATTTATCTTTCCTTCCCTATTATTAGCCAAAGATTTATAATAATGTTAAGTATAATAGTGTGTAATAATAAGGAAACACCACTACACTCATCCCCGCCACCATTAACCTCTCCCCTCCCTCCCCCCCAATGTACAGTAATTAACATACGTGTACAAAGGTGGAGAAAGTTTGCACAATCTTTAGTAAAAACAGTACAGTCTCTCCTCGACTTACGATGGGGATCCGTCCCAACGACCAGATCGTAAATCGAATTGATCGTAAGTCGAAAATGCGAAAATAATACATTAAAATTCTAAAATGGGTGTCTCTTTTTCTTCTCAGCACCACGAGAACTCTCACTTTTACGCTTGCCAGCCATTTTAAAGGGAATTACAAAGAAAAATTTTGCCAGTACACAGCACGATCACTAACGTCGGTACTAGAAAATACATAATTTGAAAAATATTTTATACGACCACGGCGGTCGTATGTCTGGGTTGTCGTAAGTCGAGTATGTCATAAGTCGAGGAGTACCTGTATTATGATAATAGTATTACAATCTTACTTTGTTGAGTTCCTTCATTTTATTATCCCAAAAGATCGTAGTAAATTAAAGTTACCGTACATAAGTCCTGAGGAGTGCGTATAACTTTAATGGCCTCGTCATGATCAAATTACATTTACGCTTGGCAACCTCCAGTGCCAACTCGTCAACCTTACTCTGTCTCATCCTGCTTTTTTTTTCTATAAGGCCTTGGGGGGTACACTCCTGACCCCTGAAATCTGCATCACGTGGTGCTCCACCACCACCACTATTACCAACACTGGGCTCCCCAACATCACCAAGTAGCTCATCACCAACATTCACCTGCACCATCGCCAGTAGCACTTGTATCACCATAATCAACACTAAATTCACCACCAAAATCACTATCACCAAGCATGGCTGGGGTGTCCACGTGAGCACTGGCGTCACTAAACACACGCTCTTGAACCCACACCAGAAGGCCTGGCCGCACTCGAGTCTTGCTCTAAAATAAGGCAGACATTGCACAGCACTTCTCACACCCGTGGCACATGAATAACGTCAATGCGAGGCCGAAAAGTTATCAAAAATAGCAGTAGAAACTACACAACCACCTTTGCGATACAACACTCCAAAACTAACAAGGAGGCAGCATCTGGGCACGCGGATTGGCCTTGGAGCTGTGACGTAGCAAGGGTAATCCATTGTAATTGGCTGCTTCAGGGGGTATGGTCCGAGGGAGGCGCGCTGTCATGGCTCGCGCTCCTCTCACTCTGAACGGGATGTAGCCACTTTCATTTACTGAGCGCACAGCCAGATACGTAGCTCCCGGCCTGAGGCGAAATGACACCCTATTTTTGAAGGACTCTCAACCATATTTCCATTCTAGCTAGAGGGTTACATCCAACGCCAACATGTAGAGGAATGGTGAAAACGTGCCTCACTTAATCACCTTGTTTGCTTCACTTCATTCCTTGTAGCCGGCTCCCTCATTGGTCTCCCCACTTGATGTATTGATGAAGCCTCTGACATATTTTGATATCGGTAATTTTAGTATGGTTCCAGTTTAATGTGTTCTGTACCCTGAAATTTTGAGGTTCATAGGAATGTTGATGTCATATACAGTAGTGATCCATAGTCTTACTTTCCACTAAGAACTGAAATGGGAGCCATCCACTTGACCACCTCCTTCCAGTCCTCAGTGTAAACTCTCTCTGATTTTTAAAGATGTTAAATATCTGCAGATTTTTCAAGACCTGTGAAATGTTAATGGATAAATAATCTGCAAATAATTAATTACTCCAACCAATTTGTGATTTCATTATTACACTGGAGCATCCATCTGCATCATTCATGTTTTGTCATACTCATTTATCCATTGGTCTATCAGCTGTCCATTCCTTCAAGATATTTTATAATAAAAAATATCTTGAAATAGGATGCAGCTCTGAGAGGTCATAAGCATGGTACATCTTCATGTGAAATAATAAATGATTAGAATTGTGTTTTGTTGGTAAGAACTACAGTACTGTAATACTGTACTGTATCTTGTTGCTTCTTCCACATAACTCTCTTATCAACCAACTGATTGATTAAAATATTTTCTTTATTTATTTATTTTTTTTTTCGGGGGGTAATATATTGCACACACTGTATTGACCAACATATTTTTACTCAATTTGATATATTGCTGAATGTATTTGTACTCAGTTCAATATATTGCCATAGGTTAGGCTAGGCTAGGCTAGGCTAGGCTAGGCTAGGCTAGGCTAGGTTAGGTTAGGTTAGGCTAGGCTAGGTTAGGTATTTGGTTTAATATATTGTAGAATTCTTAGAGCAAATAACTTTTGTGGAGATGGTACAGTATACTTTCTTGCCATTCGTCACTAACAGGTCATGAATTGGAGGTCGCTCAAATTGGGGACACAGCAGCTGAGTCTTCGTACACTGTTGGTCGACTAGACACTAACTCTGGCGATGACGACATCCTTAACCTCCGATCTCATGACGACAACTGCAATCTACAACGACTCTCCTCCCACATTAGCACACCGGGAGAGAACGAAAATGACAACAGAACCACAGAAGCCAGAATACGAAGGACATCTGAATCGAGTCAGAGTTCGCAAAAGTAATTATCGTACCTATTTTGTTTCATATTTTTCACGGGTGTTGAGGACTCGACTAGTATGGTGCCAGTGCTATGATAGTCAGTCAATCTTTTATTTCTGTCTAGTAGTTTTTAAGGTGTAGGAATATTTTTGTGAAGTATTTCAGTGGAATGAGCAAAACAAGGTACAGTTGCAAACAAAAGTTCACTGCCCCTGGTGAAACTCAGTCACGATAATGAGTCTCCATACTTACTTACCCTGACTGCCATTTGGTGAAGTTATGCTGTTTTGTCTCATATGGGGTCAATACAGCTTCATAATGGGAGGGAGCAAACTTTTGACCTCGACCTTTATGTCCGATGTACAGTATATTGTGTACGTATAAAAGTGGAAATAGAAAGTCTTACTGGCAAATCAACTGTGTGAAATAATTAGTTATACAATACACCTTCTAACCAGTGTGGAAATCTTTATAATTTTCTATGCTTTCAACCCAGTGAATGTCATTTTTTATGGTACAGTAAATGAAATAGATTGATTTATAAACTTGTTTTAGGGTGTAAACTTTACACCCTAAAATAAGTTTGTAAGTCAATCTTTGTGATAAATTGTTATATCAATATTTTTATTGTTGCAGATCTTCAACAAATTCAAGCAAAAGAAAGAGTGGGGAGTACGGCCCAGAGAAGGACGGAAGTAATCTTTCCACGACTCCTTCAGCAAAGGAGCGTCTTTTAGCGTCGTCTAAATCTATCACGTCAGAAATCTTCAAAATTGGTACCAAAGTTCTCTCGCCCACTCGTGAAAAACTAGCCAAGACAGAAAATAGGAATTCAACTGTAAGTTCTTGTAATCGAGCTCAAAGTGTGTGAAGGCTGCAGGATATGTTTCTCGTGAGGAAACTTCAACTTGACTACTGTACTTTGTCTGCTACTGGTGCTATACATAAGAGATTTTTCTTCAATCTTGTACAGATGTTAATGTGTTCACTGTCATTATGAACTGTGAAGCCAAAAAAGATATACAGTAAACTTAGTTCCTTTCTAAAGACTGAAGTGAACTAAAGGGTTAACCCATACATGCAGGCATTAATTGTCACTGTGATAAATTGACTGAGTCAGTATCTTTGAGGTCTTGGAATATTGTACATATTGATACAATATTTTCTTATGTACCTGTATATGTAAACACTGTACAGGCTTACATATATGTTAGTACAGTACATATATCAATACTGTACTAAGAAAATAACATGATAATTATCCCCTACAGGCATCGTTGAGTAGCAACAGTAGCAGTGGTGAACGACCCGTGTTAATGACGCACAAGCAGCTCGTGGACCCATTTGCCTCAGATGATGAGGAGGATCCCACCTCTCCTGCTGCAACTCAGGAGCAGCGTCCAAGCAGGTAAATACAGCCAGTACAGTATAAGCAACTCCACCAAAGGGTTTACTATAATACATATTCATGAGAGATTCATATTGATCCACTTGTTCTGAGTTATGGAGGAGGGAGCTAATGACAACTCCATCTTTATACCCTGTTTTATGAAAATGCCTTTTTAATTAGAAAAATCAAGGTAAATTACAAGAACCTTAATATTTGTGCTTGTAATATGAATCAAGGATAAATTATTGTAAGGCATTCCCGTAACTAAACTCATATCAGTTGCTGCCCCAATTTGTTATGCCACATTGTGATACAGTACTGTACTGTCCTCAAAAAGGACCATTGTCTTATCACTAGGCAAATACTCTACCAGGAGAATATTTAATTAATTACATTGTCATCAGCCATCAGATTGGTTCTTTACACTTAGATCCATTTCTCTCTCGATGCCTATTCGTCCTTCTATTTATGTACTGTACAGTCATGGGACAAGAGTTCATTCCGTGGTGAGTCTGAGTCATGGAAATAGTCTCCAAGTTATTTACACTGACTATCTACTGGTGCAGGTGTGTTGTTTTATTTCCTTTGTGGTCAATACTGCTTCAGTTTGGGAAGGAGTGAACATTTGTCCCCTGGTGTACTGTATGGAGTTTGTTCTTGATGAATATTTGGAACATGATCAAGGGGGTGAGTGGTTGTGGGTGAACATTATTTATAGATGAAATAACAAAATGAAGAAGTTTTAGACATTAGTTGGTAGTGGAGGAAAGAGGGGTGAGGTATAAATGAGGAGTTTAGGACTCACATGGGCATTTTTTTTTTTTGTCACACAACTTAGAAATCACTAGTTCAATGGATGTCTGCGTGCAATATCCCATTGAACTCCATTCATTTCTAAGCTGCGCGACACAAACAAAAAAGAGCTTGTGTGGAAGAGGCTTTTCAAGAACTGCTTCTTATGGCAACTGATTGTGAATGTTGTTAAACAATGGAGAACTATGATTAATTATTAAGTTTTGTCTGTAGTTTTAAGCTTTTAGGTGTTTTACTGGGAATTGGGAATATTCATTACTTTGTTGCTTTAAGATAACATGAACAAGACTTTAAACCCTAAACAGTGGCCGTCATCAGTGGAGATTAGCTGTAGGGATGGCGGCCATTATCGGTGGAAGTTAGCTGTAGGGATGGCGGCCATTATCAGTGGAAATTAGCTGTAGGGATGGCGGCCATTATTGGTGGAAGTTAGCTGTAGGGATGGCGGCCATCATCGGTGGAAATTAGCTGTAGGGATGGCGGCCATCACCGGTGGAAGTTAGCTGTAGGGATGGCGGCCATCATCGGTGGAAGTTAGCTGTAAGGACGGTGGCCATCATTGGTGTAAGTTAGCTGTAGGGACGGTGGCCATCATTGGTGGAAGTTAGCTGTAGGGACGGTGGCCATCATCGGTGGAAGGTAGCTGTAGGATTGGTGGCCATCATCGATGGAAGTTAGCTGTAGGGATGGTGGCGGTCAACAGTGGAAGGTAGCTGTAGGGACGGTGGCCATCATCGGTGGAAGGTAGCTGTAGGAATGGTGGCCATCATTGGTGTAAGTTATCTGTAGGGAAAGTGACCATCCTTGGTGGATGGTAGCTGTAGGGATGGTGACCATCATCAGTGGAAGGTAGTTGTAGGGATGGTGGACATCATCAGAAGACATTTCATATTCCTTGCATTCCAATTTTGCTCATATGGGGATGGAACGGGGAATCTTCAGTTGCCAGTTAAGGGTTAATAAGCATAAAGTACAGTCAACAACAAAAATTGCCACCCCAATAATTACCATGAGTGGCTGAGGTATTTGCTCTTTCCCAGTTCCAATGGACCCCAAGGATGTGATAATTTTGTTGTTGACTACTTAAGAGATGAAAATGAACCATAAGAAACATTATATAAATACAGTATTACTTTTACAGCCCCCAAGACAGTCAAGAGAACGAGGAGAACAGCAACAAAGACAATAAGAGGTCGATGTCCCCTAAGACCTCGGTGATGTCCCCCAACGAAGAGGTATGTTAAGTTACATCAAGGACTTGTAAATTTAGGTACTGTTTGTATATATATTTTATTTTAGTTTGATTAGTTTTAGGTTTGATTATTGTAGTCCTTAATTCAGAATAAATAGTTACAATAATAGATGTGAAATAATACAGTGGCTCATGTGATTCCTTCGTCCAATATGTCAGCTACAGGGACTCACATGTATCATTCTTCAGTATATCAGTTACAGTGCCTCTGTGTCTCTCTGTCTCATTTCAAATCTCACTTCTCATTTCATTTATTCTTTTTATGGCATCCTCCATTGTTTACCTTCTTACACTCTTTTGGTAAACAAGGAATATGAGAATTAGGGATTATTGTTGTGTATGCTCATAATCGCCACTGTAAGGTTGAAGATAACCATTTCTTGTCGTCATCATTTGTAGGCCTTTGCATTTTGCTTTTATCTGTGAAATGTATAACTGTTTTTTCCAATTATTTAAGTTATGACCAGCTAAATTGAGTAGTGATAATATATAAGGCTGTTTGACTCAAGTTAGGTGGCATTTAGTCATAACATGATTCTACTTCTGTTATTTCATGAGGACTTTCTTCTCTCTTCCATGTCCCAGTCTTTTATATTCGGTGTTCTTCTTGTTCACTGTCTTTACTTTTCACATAGGGCTAGGAATTGTGTCTCCAGTGCTTCTTGTGTTTGTTCATTCTGTTGTTATTCCAAAGTATGGCTATGTTGTCAAATTTTGAAGTTGTTTACCACCACCATTACCTCCATTACCACTACTGCTACCACCACCATCACTGCCACCACCTCCACCATTGCCATTGCCATCACCACCACCACTGTCATCACCACCACCACCACTGTCATCACCACTACCATCACTGTCATCACCACTGCCTTCACCACCGCCACCACCACTGCCATCACCACCACCACCGCCATCACCAATTGCCACTACCACTGCTACCACCATTACCTCCACCAATATTATGGACCATTTGCTGATATAACCCAATGTGTCCTCCATGAAATGATCTTTCCATTTCCTTGTACCTTTCCAGTAACAAATACATGTTGAATTAACTGTCATCCTTCCTGTTGTGGCTTTTTGCAGTGTAAGGAAGTAGTGATTTAAAATTTTTGTGGGATAACAGCACCAGCATCAAGAGGTCTTCAGCAAATGGTTCAAACTTTGCTGTGGATTTTGTAACACATGGGAGATGATAATCTGGCAGGGGCAAGATTCTACCTGTGTTTGCAGTTCCTGGAGAAAGAGGAGCATAAGAGAAACACATATGACACATTGACATAACTATTGATCAGATTGGACGTAACAGGAGTGCAGTAGTTAGGAAATACTAGAAGGTGAAACGTGAAAGAAATAGAAGAAACAAATTCACTTAATCGTGGCAACACATATCTGGGTGGACAAGTTGGTTTACATATGTAGTATACCTGACACTGTATCTGACTTGAGGCTTATTAGGCACCAGATTCTCACGTTGATTCATCATACTTGGTCATTTTTCTCTTTTCTTTATCTCATCTTTGACTTAAATCTTCTCTTTTGTACAAGTTTGTTTGATTCCTTTTATTGTTCCTTCATGGTATTTGATCTTTTCTTAGATATGTAAATACTGTACAGGTACTGTGCTTATATCTTAATGAGAGATAGAATGTAAATAGCATAACTGAACCTTTTTTTTATGTATTTATCATTTATTTTTATGCTTTCACGAATTTTATAGTTCATACACCAGGGTAATGTAACGGACATACTGTTGTCAGCTTTTGTGATTCTCTGTTGGTTGGTAAGTTGGATGGAAGAGCCACAGTATTGGAGCAGCACAATTGCTTATAGATAACTGCATTAATTTGGTTCATTGCTTTTTTTTTTACAGTCAGTAATTTTATTGTAGAGTTTTAGATTTTTTATTTATTTTTTATACTTGTTTAGTTTTATTATTTGATTAATTTATTAATATCTTGAGTGAACTGTAAGTTTACCAGGGATGCCTCATTCATACCTCTGGGCTGTGGTTAGTAACATTCTTATTTGTAAACTTCTTTTTCTTTTCTTTTTTTTACAAAGGTAATTTATCATATGGATACTTGGTGGTGGTCTATATCCAAATTTAATAAAGATTAAGGTAGAGTATTTTGAGTGTCTGGTGAACTTCGGGGTGCACTCTTAACATGGCCCTATTAACAAAGGCATATATGCTTAGCTTGTCTAACTCTGGGAACTGTCTCTGTACGGTGGTCAGACTGGGTCTAGGAATGGGACAACTACCGGGCCTCAAGAAGGGTCCCCAGTTGATTCTCGACTGGGGTCCATAGTTCAGGAGGTTCCCGGACTCCTCGACCTCTCCCCCACTCGAAGGGATCAGGTGGTGATGAGAGAAAGACAAAGTCCCGTTAAAAAGGTGAGCTGCAACGATTCGTGGCAGTGCATTTATACTACAGATGAAGAGATTGCCATTGCACATCAGGAACTATTATGCTCACACTTGGCTGTTTATGGAGATGTAACACAGAATGAGCTTTTTGATGTTACTTTTTTGTCAACCATATCTCCTACATGAAACACTACTTTCCATGTACAGTACTCTGAATGCCTCACCTTATTATTGTTACTCTCCCCATTGACTTTTATCTGTTATGGCATCTCTTTTTGTGTGCACATCGTATGAATAACAACCAGCTTCAGTAGGGGAATGGCTTTTATCATCTGTGCTCTAAGTCAGACATACAAGTAGTGAGAGAATTACAGTAATAGATAATTTATAAGGCATGCCAATGATTGTAAGTTTAGTGTTTTATGTGTTACCTTGTGTATAATGGAGATATACCACAACCAGTTGGCCTCAGCTACTGCCCCCGAAAGCATTTTTTTAAGCTACTTTAAGACAGCAGTACACTTGGTGATCTGTCGTATGTCTAATTCCTCATCATTTGTTTGATCCCCTCATATCTCCTTTGTTCTGTCTTTTTATACACTTCCTTTTGTCTGTTTATTTCTCTATGTATAATTCCTCAGGTAACCTTCTCTCTTTGCCCACTGTTGTTGTTCCTCAGTGTAAGCAGGTGGCAGACTGCTTCACTCGTGTGGTAACCAAACTAGCAGTCCAGATTTCCCTAATAGATGTTTTGACCTTTGCAGTAGGTTTTATTGTACCTGAAGTAGTCATTGTCAGGTGCTGCTAAAGTGTTTGGTTATGACTCTTCCTCTGTTGATCTGTTTAAATTGCAGTAAAAAAAAAAAGATTATAGCTATTATTATGATGGTCTTCAATTTCTGTATATTATATTTACCAGAATTTTAAGGAATTTTAGGTTATATGTAAGGAATCTATGTAGGGTTTGTATAATTGTATAGTACAGTATCTTCTAATGACTGTCTTATCTATGGATTCCCTTTTCTCCTCTCATTTTCTTCCCTTGTAGCTTAAATCTTCGCCCTTGGAAGGTCAGAGAGGAAGTGGCCGGAGATTACAAACTCAAGAAGCAAGAGCTAAGACTAAAGTGATCTCACATGCTACTGTAAGACCTCTTAAGGAAAACATTAACTCTCAGAATAGAAAGACATCCTCAAGTCCTCAGAGATTAGTTACTAGTGGAAAAAAAATTCAAAATCTTGAAAATCACAGTACAGTTATGTCTTTAAGGGGCGACAGTCCAGAAACTAGCGATATAACATACGCACGCTTCAAGAACAGAGATCACAGTGGCAGTCCATCTCGAAAAAAAGTTAAATCCCTTTTGAGAGGGAAATCTAAGAAGACCTCCATTTTACCTAATTCACAGGTCAAAAGCCTCACTTTTCCAGGTCAGGTCAATAAGGAAGGACCCACAAAGTCCTCCAGAGCCACCAAAACATTTACAAATATAAAAGAAAAATTAAAGATGAATAATTTTTCTTCAAGTGATAAATCTAAATCTGGTTCAAAGGTTTCACACCATTCCAGTGCCAGTGAGAAGAAAACTAACCAAAAAGTAAATACCAAAAAGGAAATTTCTTTGCCTGCTGTATCAAAAAGCACCAAAGAAATAAACAACAAAAATACCCAGGCAAAAACATTACACAAGGAAAAGTTACATAACGTTGATGGTACAAATAAAACTGTATCATCACCCAAAGATAAAGCGGGAGCATCTCAAACTGTAGGAAAAAGGCAAGTTATACCAAGAGCAGTTTCAACAAAAGCTCGAGAAAAGGAGACGATCTATACTAATAATGATGCGGTCAAGTCGGCTACAAGCAGAGACCAGGTTAAAAAGGAGAACACACAAATACCAGGTCTTTTAACTTCATCTCCAATAGGTAATAAGGATCCCATTGCTAAAAGGTCCTCGGAACATTCCAAACACGTTGGGAGTGAACCCCAGCCTTGTACCATATGGGATGCCCACGCCCAGACACTTCCCAAGGATTTTGTCGTTTCCTCTTGGGCCAAGTTTGACGATTTTGACTGGGGTGGATGTGATGCAACGATACGTGAGCATCCAGTGAAAAGTGGTGGTCAGATGTCAAGCAGCCAAGTTGAAATGAGAGAAAATAAGCTGAATAATGATACTGAAATTAAAAAGGACAATGATTTGCACGAGACCAGCAAGAAGGAAGTTACTCGTATATCCCAAGGGACAGTAAATGACTTGGATACTGTGGCTCCTGAAGTCATATGTGAAAGTGCACTGAATGACTCTGAAGCCCAAACAGAAAGCAAAACAAACTCCTTAAAGACTGAGGAAGTCATTCATAAAGATGTACCAAAAATTGATGATCAGTTGCAGCATGAATTAAATGAGAATGGTAATTCAAATAACAAAAATATTGAATTAGGAATGCAAATTACTGAAGGTGAAAATAAAAGTCACAGTGCAAGAGACGACATGCATAGTGATTCCTCTTATAAACAGTCAAGTAACAATGTTCTTCCTCTTCCTCCCAGACGACTGAAAGAGGCAATGAGGAACTGGGTCTCATTTGAGGACCCATCAAATAGAACCAAGAAAATAGACACTCAGAAAGGTGATAATGAGCTACCACAAGAATCTCGTGCTAGCAGAAATAATGAGCGTAAAAAACGTGATAAGGATAAAGTGTATGAGAATGTCTGGTTTGGAGCTCTGCCATATACTGGAAAGGATCAGAGTACAGTTTTTGACAGCGATGAAGGTGATGAAGAATTTAAAGTTTATGCAAGTGTTAAGCCATTCGGAGATGATGGAGACTTGTCCTCATCATTTGATGCAGAGGATAACCGTTTTGCAAAAATTGTCAAAGAGCTTATGTGTCAAGATGTTGCATTAGATGAAAGTATGTGTAGTGATGTTGCATTAGATGAAAAACCTCTTCAACAACAACCTCTCACACAATTGCAAAGAATCAAAGAACTTATTGTTGTTGGTCCAGCTGAAGATGTGATGCAGAAGCCAATGAGGTTTGATAGGATTTTCAAATTAGATTCATCTGTACCTGAGTGTGAGAAAGTTGAATTACTGTGGCAGAGTCCATGTTCAAGTATTGTCGCATCTGTTGCCAGGAATCTTCAAATGGAAAGTCTCGAGAAAATTCCGGTACTTAAACATAATTTTGAATATGCCTTATGTCGTTTTGAAATTGACTACAAAAGGGTTGCTCTAGAAAAAAGTTGCAAAGTTCACACCTTTAGTACACCCTTGCAGGAACGTTTTGAAGAATTTACCCAACAGTTTCTCAATGAAATACCTCCAGTAGACTGCTCCTCCCTGTATCTTCACCCAATAGTGGAGCCCATACATGAAGTTCTCTTAGCAGTAAATACCTCAATAGCTCCATTGCAAAATATTGAATCTCCCAATATAATGAATACCATTATTGAACAAGTACAGACTGAGTTATTTGACAAATGTTTGGTTGTAGAAGCAGATGTCAGAAATTGTATGTTGAGTAATGAGGAAATAGATACGTCCACACAGACTGTATTGAAAAGTGTTCCCAGTAACACCTGTGATGAGGGTGAGTTAAGGGAGAATGAAAAGCTTACTACTGGTGAACAGTCTGTGATGGCTAATACTACTGCATGTGTACCACAATATGCGGGCACCATTGAAACATCTCAAGACCCTGTAAAGGATAATCAACTTGTTTATGAAGATGTTCTTAGAACAGGTGAACTGTTACACACCATGGAAGAAACTAAGGACAATGTAACTCAGGATTTAGGCGAGCTTAACTCTGAGGGATGTAATGATGATATAGTAAACCAGCATGAAGTATCAATCTGTAGTGAAATGGATCACTCACATTCCTTTGTGTTATTAGAAAATGTAAATATCATACCAGACAAAGAGTCATTGTATGTGGAAAGTAATGATGCTTCAGGGAAAAATTCATTAAATGGATATTTAAATAAGGATGAGAAGAACACAAATGCATCTGGTGTAGGTACAAACAGTGAAGACAGAAGACGAGAGAGTCTTCACGTCATGCACGCCATGGAGAGTATGGAGCAGGTGGAGTTAGAGTTTGTGTCCCAGGAGATGGCCTCAGATCCTCTGTTAGATTCAGGAGTAACATTTATAGATCCACAAGAAGTTGACTGTAGCGATAATCCAATTTTATTTATAAACTCCAGAAGGATTGGTATTACTGGTGAAAATTATAAAACAGCTTCAGAGGATAAAACATTAAAATATGATGCATCAAGGTTAGATATTCCACAGATACTTATTCATGCTCCAAGTGATGAAATGCTTGCTGTAAGCTCTGACAGCTTTTTACATGAAGAATGTGTTAGTTTACCTGAAGATGAGGAATATCCCTTAAGGAACGATGATAATTATTTGGAAGCGTTCGAGAGGGACGACAGTGAGTTGTATTGCACCAGTGATGTCGAAGATATTCCGGTTTGCTCTCTGGCCGAAGAGGAGATGCTGAGGGCTCTAATGTATGCTTCTGCCGAGGAAGGTACACAAGAGTTCATTGATGTATTTGTCATTAACAAGAGTCAGTATCAGCTTCCAGAGAGGGTCCATGCTAAACCAAAAAAGATTGAAAGAGAACCATTAATACTTGCAGTTGTTGAGGAAGAAATGAGTTACATGAGGATTGATCCTGAATGTGAATCAGTTCGTTGGAATAAATCTGTAAGTACTGAGGATAAAACTACAGTTAGAGTGGAGAATGAGGGTGTAAATACATTCAGTGAAGATCAGGAATTATTTGCCAAAGAAACCGAGGTCACTCCACTTGTATTTACCCCAGCTGTTAGAGAGCTATGCATGAATGGCCCTGAAATACTAGGTAATATGAAAGTGATGGATATTCCTGAGAAATCAGTTGCCATGGAAACTATTGACTTTAATCCGCTGGCATTTGAAAAATATGAGAAGTATAATGTTCATAAAGTCAAAGTCTGTAGCGAGAAATTATTCCAACCTTCTTCGAGTATCTTGAAGCCTGTGGAAGACAAATTATTGGGGGTTAAAGGAGGTAAGGTGCCTATGGCTGTAAGGCCTAATGATGAATTGACTCGGTTAAGGTATGTTTCACCTCTCTCTGGGAATGAAAAATCAGAAGCATATACTCACTCAGATATTGTTACTGATAGGGATAGTGAGTATAAGTGGTCATCGAGGGAGGTGGGCTCTCCTGATTCTCAATGGCTGTCTAGTGTCAAATCAGATACTGTTAAAGATTCATTTATGAATATTGATGAGCTTGACATTCCACTTATTGATTCAAATGTATCGCAAGCAAATTCAGTAGACTCAACCATTTCTGACGTGAACGTACATCCCCCATATGCCTCGTTATTCAAACCTTCTTGTCCTCTGAACACTACCGGTATGCTGCTCTCCCGCACCGAGTCTTTGGAGAGTCAGAGTGGCAGCTCGGTCGGAGGGGATGTTGTGTCAGTCAATAATGCTGCTGTTCTTCAGTATTGGGCCGGAGTGATGAAGGATAGAAGAAATTTGGGAAACTTTGGAGCAATTGCAGATTTTTCACTTGAAGATAAAAATATTAAATCTACAAGTTCAGTACCAATCCCTGAAGGTGGCAGCCATAGTAGAGAAGACAAGAATATAGCAAATCTCCTTCGAAGAGAGGAGAGCTTTGTATATTTCTTAAGTTGTTCTCCAGAGTCTGCCTTTGATGCAGCAGATTTTCAGCTTCCTTTGGAGGATGAAGAAGAAGATTGGCTTCAGGAACTAGAGGACGTTAGAGGGGAAGATGGGGTTTTTGACAGTGAATTTGAATTTGGTGAGATGGAAATTGACTCCAATGCTAAAAGTTTTCTCTGGGGGAAACTATCCCCAAAATGTGAGGACAAAGTGAGGAATCACAGAAAGAAACCAGAAAGTCATAGTAGATTAAGATTAAAAGGAGAAGCATCGGAATTAATGAAACAATCGGAAAATGAAGAAAGGCCAGTTGACAGTGACCTACCCAAGCAAGGGGGGTGGATCATGGATGGAATTAGACATACTACAAAAGGTCTATATAATCTTCTTTTTTATGGACAGACTCCTGGGGTTATGAAAGCTGAGGAAAATCCAGTGACAGAAGGCGAAGAAGTAACAGAATGGACGAAACTGACCGATGATGACGCTCAGCAGATTGGTTCTAAGGGAGTGAGTGATGATCATACTCATCTTGATAAACGGGGAATAGATAGTTATTCTCAGTTAGCATCTGGTAATAAACAAGAGCAGAAGCTTCCAGTCACCCACACAGCTAGTGGAGGGGTGAGACCCAAAGCCTTATCATCCTCCAGTGAGAAAATATCCAAATGTGTAGCCGGAGTTCAGTCTCAACTTAACAAGTCTACAAAAGATGCTGTCTGCATTTCATCTGAATCTACTGTAGAGAGTAATCACAGCAAACAAGATTCAGTAACTGATCTTGCTGAAGAAACACCACTTGAAGGGGAAGATGTCTTGTTCTTGGCTCAAGTGGCTGGAATTTCTCACATGGAAGAGAGTGATAGGGCAGCTCTACATCTACTTCTGACAAAGGTTCTGCAGTTGGAGTTTTTGCTGTGTGTAAAACAGTGTGTTTAATGCTGAGCCTTTTGCTGCCAACTGCCAGTCCTGCTCAAGAGTTTTAGCATTAATTGATTTGAGATATTGTTCTTTGAGCACAACTTTTTCTCGTGTGATTTTTTTTTACAAGCTTTTACTAATATTGTGATATGCATGTTGATATTGCTAGTTCATTAACATATATTAACTCCAAATTTCTTGTTATCTTCAACTTGTGTATGATGCCGCTGCCTCATATAAAAATATGTTTTCTTCAGGGTCTTTACAGGATGAAAAGATGAACTGTACCTACATTATAGTGGTTAACTTTAACTCTGTCTGGCCCTGGTGGTACACTTTGTCTAAACCATTGTCAGTATATGGTACACAACTGTTTAACCAGATCCCCGTAAAAGCCACTTAAAGCCTATGATATACATACAGTGTCTCAATGATATACTTAGTGAATTAGATGGCTGGAGTTTACCATGGAGGAACTAAAGTGGTATTATTTGTCTCTTCAGTATAGTAATACAGTAGTTTTCTATGTTCAAATATCACTGCACTTAGTTGTTTGATCTACAGATTTCTCTAAAGATGACCATTTTTTTTCTCATATTATATCCCGCCTAGCATTGAGATGAGTGGCAGGGGATGTGGAAATAGTGTGTCTGTGTGTGTGTTCATTCATTCATCTAGCTATGTTGTGAATGTACCAACTAAAACACCAAAGTGGTGGATCTTGATGAAACTTGCTTTTAAGGTTTAACTCAAGATGTTCGTTGAATTTGATAATTTTAATACTGGCCGTGTCATTACATTCTCCCAGATTAAGGGCTAGACTAGAGCTTTCATTAGGTGATCTTCCTAATAGCTATGCACTCTCAGGTACGGCAACTGGAAAGTTTTCTTGAAATTGAAAAAAAGGTTTTAACTTTAACAATTGTCTGCATTTCCATTTTAGCTGCTGAGAGATGATTCATTACAGAGTTTCATGTGACCCATCATTGTCAGTTATGTGGAGATATGATTCTTCAGTTTGATGAGGATTGTATTCTTTTTTCTTTTTCTTTTTTTTTAAACTTTCATGTTCAAAAATCTTTAGAGGGTCGTGTGATTTTTGCATAGCCAGATGGATAGGTTGATAGATACTGTACGTAAAGAGTTAGGAATATCTGTGGTAGTGTTTATTTAAAGAATATGAGAGGCCAGGTGTGGTTGTTTTAAGTTGAAGGAGGTACCTATATATGTAACGTATAATTCATTCAATTTCATTATATTTTTCAACAGATGTTCTTCCGTTGGTAAACGAGGTCATTCAATCCACTAACCAATTTTAGTGTGAAATCAAACTCAGTATTGGCAAAAATATAATATACTTGAAATGCATTCTGTAGATACTAGAATCAGACATTTATCCTTTTAGAAAAACAGAGTACCTGTAGTTGTTTTTTATATTCTAAAGTCGCCCACAAAAGTCATGTCGCCTCTCCTGTTGCTCCATGAACCCCAAGATTCAGATTCGTGAACCGAAGGAGGAGATGCTGATGCATTATTCTGTCCATAAATGCTTCTGATATATGGGTTTGAACCTCGAGGTTCGTGGAGAAGCAGAAGAAGTCGTACAATTAATCACAATACTGTGGGGAGTCTTTACCAGGGTGTGTCAAGCAGGTGAGACAAACTTTAGAATTAATCGTTCAGGAATTCTTGTTGACACATAACACCTGGCCAGCTGATGTATGGAAATGCTAATCATCATTATTTCATTACCTTGCTTAATAGCTTTTGCCAGCTATAAAACAATATCAAATTATCTGTATCCTTAATTGTAAAAATATTTTTTGCCTATGAGATTAAAGATTTTTTAATTGATGTTATAAAATTCTTGATTGAAATATCAAAATGACAGCTACAATTTTATTTGTAGTTTACTTTTAAGAAATGCTTTATATTTGCTTTGAACATTTATGATTTAAAGGATATTTTAACAGGTACAGTACTGCTAGTGGATGTTCAGTTACTTGATTTTTCTGAAGAATGATATATGAACTAGTTTTAATTAATATATATCTCATGGGATAGTTGTGAGAAGCCAAACAAATAGATTATATGATATTTTGGACATTGCAAGATTTATGAAGGATAGCTCTCGAGGATAACTAGTTTTCTGAGTTACATCCATAGGTTTCACTGCTGATATTAACCACTTGTGTATGGGAATCGGCAAACAAAATATTAAAAGTAGCGTCTCTGCAGTGAAGGGGTAATAATTTTTTTTTCACCTAAATATCTTGAAATGTGTAGCTACTTTTTCAGAATTTAATTGATTAATATAAATTCCACAATCACGCCAACCATTTGGTATGACATCACTAGAAGAGAAGTTCATTGTCTCCAGCGGTTCGTTATTCCAAAAAATAAATTCTAACCGTACTCCGTTCATTAACCCCTCGTGTACAGAAGTGTCTAAGCTGAGTACAATTTTCTCTCTTTAGCCAAAAGAAAATTAAAAGTGGCATCCAATAGTGAAGGAGTTAATGGAGATAGTACTGTTTATTAACCTCCTGTGTACAGCGGTCTGTCTCAACCGTCTGCCGTTTGCCAAATAAAATATTAATAGCGGCGTCCCCGTAGTACCTAACTTAAGAACTGGTATATACAAGTATTTGAATAAGGATAAGAGACTAAATTATAACATTCATAATTTATCAATGTGGTTTTTCTCAACTAATATCAGACTCAGTGGTAGGAGGTTGAGAAGGTGGTTTGATTATTATTTATTTATTTTTATTCTGAAACTTGTTCTTTTTTTTTAAGTTCATCCATCTTTTAGAAAATGACAAGAATAATGCTGAAAAAGTGTGACTGGAGATGACCTTTGAGCTGAAGCATCAATAAATGTCTCAGCCTGCATGTGTACTAAAGGACTTGGCTGTGTATCTGGTCTCCAGCATATTTATATTTTTATTATACATTTTTATATGTAATGGCTGTCTTTTTGTGTATTTGATAAACTCTAGCATTTTTATCCTAATTTGATCGTTGAATAATACGTTATTAATGTCATTACTGAGTTGCCAAGACATTTGCTCAAGCATGTTTAGTTTAACATTTAGCTAATGAGCAGTACGTTGGCAAATGTCATTTTGAAGAAGATAGGAATGTTTATTTATGTTAGGTTTTGTGATACCTGGGCTCATAACTGACTACTGTATATGGTATTTTGAACTTGATTTCTAGGGGTCCCACCTCCCAAGTCATGAGACAGAACGGAAGGTATACAGTATATCCGAGACAACCTGTACTTAACCGTAACTTAATCCTGCCAGCTGCAAAAGAATCACAAGAAGAATATCAGTCACCTAGATTTCTATATAGGAAAATCACACAAATATGTATACTGTTTAAGTATATAGTCAAGACACTCCTAAAACATACCACAATATAGTGGTTGTGAGTAGTCTTTCCTCCTCACAAAAATCTTTGTGAGGAGGCCTCAGGACACCGAGTTTGCACCTTCTTCACACATGTGCGTGTAGCTTTGTCTGTTACTAGCACAACTTGCTGGGAGGGTTTGGTAGACTAGCAACACATACGGACATTTCTTGTCTCTTGTCGATGTCCCAGCTGCAAGTTTTTGTGATCTCGGTAACAATTTATGTCATCTGTCAGACATTGGACCATATCTAGTTATGAGCCTGGGATAGCAATAACCTAAAGTACTTTTCACAATTACTAGAAAACTTTTAAAATTGATTTCCTTTTTTTTTTTTTTTTTTAATGATGAGAGAGTTAAAGGTGTCTTAAAAACCTTAGAGAATACCATAAGATAATTCATGTGCTAGAAGCCTGCTGAGAGAATTGCTTACTTCACTCTATGGAAAATACTAAACCACATTTCATACGTACAAGTAGGTACAGTAGAGATGGAGACCTTGTACAACATTGCCAAGTAAAGACACTTGATATAAGGAAGAATGAAATGTGAGAAACGTGGATATAATGACATCACTACTTATAGAGCGATGTATGGATAAAAGTGTTTAAAAATGAGATACTTTTGTAGAACTAGTAATAGGGATGGCAGTGACTAATAATATTTATAGCGTGTGGATAAAAGTCTTCCAAAATGAGATACTTAAATAGACAGTATGATGGATGATAGCAATTGATATTTATAGTAGCATAATTGAGGGCGAGATGAAGTGGTACTGTTACAACCTTCACACCCTCTTCTAGGACTCGCTAGAGGATGTATAGTCAGCCCATAGGCCCAATATATCAGAGGAGACTGAAATAACAGCTTCTGTTAACAGAGAGATTAAATGTTAAACACAGACCCTTACCTTATTTCTGGCTAACAGCCTCCTGACAGCTGACAGGTGTTTATTTCAATACCACTGTTCCCATTAAAGCTGGTTTAATCAAAACACAGCTTTAAAATTACAACAAAATATAATAAATATGTCCATGTGCATACACAAGGCCACAAATCAGTTCACTCAGAATAATGTTATCTCCACCAACTACAAGGCTCTCTCACTACTATAATATTCTTTAGACTATATGAACATATTACACTTTAGTTAACACCATAATTATCCATGATTGCCCAGATAATAATGTGCACCACACAAACTTGGCCCTCCTATCCTCCTCAACCTAGCTTCAGAGAGTGCCGCCAAAACAATGATCCAATACTTTCTTGTTTCATCAACATATAATTGATAATTATTTTTATACTTCACACCTGCTTCTTACAGTCTTTCACAACTGTATACAAAATAAGAATACATTCTACAAGGTTTACATAATGAAACAAATACAAGTATACATACTTATACAGTATAAAATAATCAATACATTTTTTTTTAAGTCTTTACCATAAGCTTGGAAATTCAATTCTAAAGAAAAATGGGAAACAACATAAACTAAATACAATGGGTAACTGAAACAAATATTGAGGGAAAGGGGAGATGACCATGATACATAACATTAGAGGAAAATATAATTAATGAATGGGTTGTTGTTGTGGTAATTGGGAGATGCCATGAAATTGTATATGGTCAAATATTGTGAAATTATATCAAATGGGGAAGTGAATGAATATGTTTAAAGTTTTAGATTAATGAATGAACATGTCAAGTTAAGTCTGATGATCCAACTCAGAGTGAAAAAGTGAATAAAAGTTAAGTAATTAGTGCTTTGTTATATATTTCTCTGTTTAAATTAACTTGAGGATCATATATAGATGATTTTTAGCTTTCTGTTGTTGATTGATACTAATTACATGTGATATTCCTACTGATACTTGTGAAATTCTAAACACATAACCTGTATCTTAGCTAAATATTTACTAGTCTTTAAGATTGAGTCCAAATATGAAGTAATTTTCTTCCTAAGGATCTTCAGTTTGCTATAATATCAGAAAGTTTGTATCCTAAGAAAATGTGAATTTACTCCTTTAATATAGTTGTACCTTAAGTGATAAAGAGAACTCATCTGTTATTATTAGATTATTACTGGAATCTTGTTTCCTATTTTTTTCTTTTATTTTCGTTTTTCATGCTTGCCACGATATTCATAACTTTGTACCTGGCATGTGATGTACTGTACCTGATTTCCCTCCCGTTCATTTTCTCTGCATCATTTTGTCAGGAACATCAATCTCAGAGACCTTAACATGTTGTAATTATCTTACTTCAGCGCCCATCGTCTCGACACGAAGAGCTTAAAGAGCGGCAGGCATTTATTAGAACAGGCCAGACGAGAAGCTCAAAGTCGCCCGGGACCTCAGCGATCGTTATCAAAGGTACGCTGCCATGGTCTTAGAATACTGCACGATCATGTAAATTACATCTTGAATCCAGGTGATGATAAGTGTGATATTTTTTTTGGGGAAGTGAAACTTTGACAACAATTTTCTTTTATCTTTCTCACAGGAAGAAGAAGAGCGACAGGCACAGTTGAGGGAACGTCTTGCGTCGGCTTATTGCCGAAGCTAAGCAGGGGTTTCTCACCCCATCCACACTAAAATCTGCTTCACACCGCAAAGTCGAGACAACTCTCATGGTTTGTGCGCTTGGATCCATGTACTATACATACTTGGTGGATGCTTTTTATATTTGCAATCCTGATCAGTTGTCTGTAATTCATTTCTGAGTTGACTTTTTCAATTGAGTCCTGAGCCCTAAGGTGTAAACACAAGGTAACACATAAACATCAGAGATTTGGACAAGTTCATGAGTTACCCCAGTACTTATGCTTCCCCATCATAGGAAAGATGGATCTATTCATGAATTATTCTCAGTCTCAAGTTTAGGGGTTAGCTCAGGATCACAGCACAAGAGGACTCAAGGATACAATACAAGAGTTAATTTGTTCTGGGATCAAGCTGCCATTTTTGTGATTGTGATAATTTTAAGCTTAGTTTTTTTTTTACTTAATTCATTGCTTATTTTTATTTATGCCTCAAGAACATGGCTGTGAAGAGATTTAATTGTATCTTGATTAGGAAAGTCAGGAAACTGTCCTTTTCCCACATTAGTGTACAGTAAGATCTGTTATTTCGCGCGATTTCATTTCGCGTATTTGAATTTCGCGAGCACTACCTAATGTAACCAACTCCTATATTTGGCGTAAAATATCGTGAATTTATAAGATCCAGCCAGCTGAATGCGAGATCCATCCAGCTGAATCCGAGATCCATCCAGCTGAGCGAGATCAACCAGCTGAAGCGAGATCCAGCAAGTTGAATGCTGGCCACCAGTGAATGACGTCACAGCCCTTACCAGTTGGTCATTTCTGCTACTAGCCCGTGTTTTGTCAGCAAATTGGTTAGCGATGGATGGTGAATAGGGGCAGCTGTTTGTAAAGCGTGAACTTTTGCATACGAATGTTGGCTGTAACATGATTCCATCCTCAGCGTTTTAAGCGTGGCGAGGTTATACAATATTTACAGTTCGCGTTCAACATCACATGTTCAATTGATTCATGTCTTTTGTTTGTGAAGTGTTTTTGAGTACTCTGTAAATTTCGTTTTTTTTTTTTTTTTTTTTTTAATTTAACTGTACCCATAAATACTGTATGAAAAAATAAGTAAAAGAATGTTTCGCAGTGAGGACTAATAATGGTTTACACCAGCACTCTCTGTTTACATCACATGATCAGTTAACCCTTTGGATCGACATGCGGGTAAACCGCCCAAATATTATATTAATTAAATGCTAAGCGGGGATATCCAAGCTTTGACGAGACGACATCACGGACATATTATTTATTGAGGTATAGGAGTATTTCCTGAATGCAATATAGCTTATTTTTTGTACTATTTTGTTTGATATTATCTGAATATGTAATACATATCTAAATTTGCTGTTTAGTAACCAAATTGATTAAATTTTTGCCATATACCAGACATTGATTTATACCAATTTCCTGCATTTTTGGGTATAAATGTCATTTTCTTTAAATTACACATATGTGAATTTTTGTTGAATTTGAAAATATACTAAAAGTTCTCTAGGAAAAACATATAGAAAATGTGATTATATGAAATTCATTTTTGGCAGGATAATTGACACTTTTAAGACAAATTTAATTCGCACCTAAAGAGTTAAATCTCGCAGTTTCTGTCAATTGCTCCGTGATTTTGCTGTTTTCTCCAATTTTGTTGTGTTAGCGATGAATATGGAAAGACAAGATAAGAAGAATGGTAAGAAGCGTTCTGGTGATCAGTGCGGTGGTGAATGTAAAAGAGGTTTACAATAGCGCCTTCTCGCGTTGTAGCCCTCCATCCTAGCAACCACCGGGCTGTTATTGTGTGCTTTGGTGGTGCTACCACCTGTCTAGAAAGATAATGGCCTCTACCTCTACTGGGGGTCCTACTGGTGCTGGTGGGGTGGGACAGACCCACCTAAGCGGCCAAAATAAGGAAAAGGAAGGCGGGACTATCATAGGGAGTTAAGTTTGCCAAGTACTCGATGCAGGATAAGCAGCGTGTGATTAAGTTACTTGAGGAAGGCCTAAAAACTAGTTTCCTGAAAGCATCATCAGGTCTCAAAAGGCAGAATTTGTATCATTTGGAGGTTATAAATGGGGAAATCAGAGGTTGATGTAGAGTGGCCAGTCTATATTGTTATTTTTCCCATTAGTTTATGTATTTGCATTTGGCGAATTTGAATTTGGCGCAATTTTCCCAGTCTATATTACTCATGAAATACAAGATCTTGCTGTACATGAAGTTTTACCTTATAAATATCTGGTTTTTCATTGAATTAGACAGTTGGGGGATTTTCTTTTATGAAACATAATTTGTTACAGAAGAATGTTTATATTTGGGTAAATTTTTTTATTGATGTATACTAAGGCAGAAAAATCCCCAATGTTTGTATATCAGTTTTGTATATAAAATCTTGAATATTAGCATTCTGCCATCACCAGTACAGCAGATTCAGGCTCAAGTTATGGAAGGTTTACTATACTTTCCTGAAAAAAGTTTTCTGTAACTTGTAACCAATTTTCCCATTTACTTCCATTAAGTGCCCTCTTAAGGCGATGGTAGAGTGTCGGCCTTCCTGTATGCCGTCCCTGTCAACCAAGATAGCTATGCAGTGGGACTCTTAATAATGTTCTGTATGTCATTTTATTTTACGAGTACAATAGTTTAACTGTCTTATATGTACAGTAAATATTATGGTTTTTGTTTTGTGTTTTGTTAATTATTGAATTTTGGCAAAGATTAATTTTTTTCCAAAATTTCTAAACTCCGGAAACTTTGGGAAGATTTTCTGTTGATGCAAATTTTTCTTCATATCCTAGGTTCTGTTAATGCAAACTTTCATTACTCGGGGAATACATCCATGTACTGTCGCATTACCTGTACAGTATCTGTGTTGAATTATCAAGATCTTGCAGTACTGTATTTATAGTTTCTGCTCGGTTTTATTTATTTATTTTTTTTTTTCAGAGGATGATGATGATGATGTGCATGTAGAGTATCAAATACAGGCTGTTTCACCTGCTAATGAGGTAAGGAGCAAAAATGTGTTCACCAATTATTATTAGATGTATTATTTTTATTATTGTTATTGGTGATATTTCTATTAACCGGAACAATTGGTGCAGAGCACTTCCGGGAATGAGAGATTTCTGGGTAATGAGACGACTCTCAAAGCCGGAAAAAAATTTCTCCTCCCCAGAATTTCAGGGTAGCGGAAAAATGTTCTTGGAAGTTCCAGAAATTGCCCATTACATCATCTCTTGAACCCGGAAAAATATCCCCTATCCCCTTAATTTTCCGGGTACCGGAATTTTTTGGGGGAATTTCCGGAAAATGCGCCTTATTTTCATCTCAAATCTAGGAAAAAAAAACCCATCCCCAGAATTTTCTGGGTATCAGGAAAATTTTCTCAAAATTTTCCGGAAAATGTCCTCCCGGAAAATCGTTCTCAAAGCCGGAATTTTCTGAGAAAATTTAAATTCTGGCTATCGGAGAGCTTCGGGTTTGAGGATCGGCTAACAGAGATATTATTGATATTACTGTATTATTATTCATCTGCTGTATGACTGTTCTATTTTGTTGATTCCTTCACTAAGAAAGATTCAATTTGTTAGTCTTTATCCTGTTTCTGTGATGCTTGTTGTAAGTTCCCCTGGAGGTACTTTGATAAGTTTGGTAGTGTGGTAGTGAAGGAAATGCGACCAATGTTTGGTAAGTTTAATTCTTCAGTAAAGCTTTTTTTTTACATGGTCCCTTGATGTTCCATCTTCAAATACTAGTTCTGGGTTTGATAAATTTAATATATTATGTGTTAGTGTTTTTATTGTGATCAATTCTGGCCATAATAGTGTTTACCTTTTGTCATCCTTCTCCCTTTCTCCTTACTTTGCTTATATACCAGCACTCTCTGGTGTATTGTGTACCTTCATTGTCTATACTGCATGCCTACTTTGTGCATATATTTACTGATTCACTGAAAATTTATCTTTTATATTTTCTGGTTAAATTGACATTTGTTTACTCTCAATACATTTTCTGTTTCACATTTCCAGGTCTAAGTATTCTTTGGGAAATTTTTCTTTGAGTTCTTACTTACAGGCAGCTATGCTTTTCCTTAAATTAGAGTGAGTTCCTCATTGCAGTGTCTTAAATAATTATATCAGTCGCTATCACATACGAACACTGCTTTACGAGAGCTTATGGAGGTGTTCTGAAACTTATTGAACAGGATTTTTTCTACATTGTACTTTTTTTATTATAACATTCTGCATCTGGTAAATTTTAGATCTATAACCTTGTAACCCCTTCTGTATGGGATCCTTTCTGTGTTGAATAAAATTGTCGGTTTTGCAAAATAAAATATCAGAAGTGATGTCCTCGTAGCAAAGGGGTTAACCATCTTTAAGAGACCTGTGTTGTTCACCCAGGCACGTCTATAGTTAGAACCCAGACTAGTGATAACAGTCATGGCTAGGGAGTAATAAATACATAAGCTTCATCTTCAAGTGTAGTACAGTACAGGTATTCTGTCAACTCTTAACTATATATGCCTCAGAAAATTACATCGATATACCAGTTTCTTCAACGAAGATTAACGTCCTTTCTAGTGATGTAAGGCTTACGGTAAATTGAGGAATATGTAGAGGTAATTGGTGAGGTTTGTGGGAATGGATCCAGTGTGTGAAGACAAGCTAAAGAAAGGGTGGAGGATGAGGGCATTAAAGTCTCTTCGTGCTTTTCAGGTTTATAATTGAATTTTCATCCTATCTATTATCTGGTTCTCTTTTATTTCAGGAAAATGGCAATGTCATCTCAGCATCAGGAGAGAAAAAGAACATAATATGGCTTTAAGCAGTAGTACAAGTGTAGCTCCAATTACCATGACGACCTCCACCACAGTGTTACCACCGTCTGCCTTCCCACCCACAACATCTCCGACTGAAGTACAATCCTCGTCCTCTTCGATACTCGGGCGGAACTCGGGAGGGAGCATAGGCAGTAGTAACGAGGGCGTCAGAGAGGTCCGGCATGAGCTACAATCATTTAAGAATATTATGGATAGAATGTCTCCAGATAAAGTCCGGCTCACTCTCCTCGAGCCTCGCCTGATAAGGTACAGAACTGATATCCGTTTCTTTATTCCGTTCCATTTAAACTGTTCCATTATCTTCCATTCAAGATGTGAAGATGATAACACACTGTAGAAATATAGGTACAAGAAACTATATTGCTTTTCACTACAGTATATAGGTGACATATTCTTTGCCATTTTTCTTTTTTCAAAATATTTTCATGTGTTGTCATTATATTATAAAAAAATGATGCAAGAATGTTGACAATTGAGATGCTGTTGGGATAACATGGAAGGTATAGGATGGCTGTGTGGATCAGTTATTGAAATGAGGAGAGTTCAGTCAATGTCTGTATGCAAATGAACAAAATAATGAAAGAATGCATGATAGAATAAGAAGGAAAAATCTACAAACTTATGTCAGGGAAAACTGGTTATAGTTAAATGAACCAGAGAAGAGGAAATACAATAAAAGAATGAATAGTAGTTAAATGTCTTGGAAGAGAAGTAAATGAAATAATTTAGTATAAAAAAAATGAGATAAATTCTGTTGCATTCTGTATATTTTGTTGTTTTCTGTATTATTTTGTTCCACAGCAAACTTGTGAGAGCAGCCGTTACTTACAAAATGAATTGGAATCCTTAGAGAGAGAGCAGCAACAGATTGACGAACAAGCGGCCAAACTTGAAAAGAGACTAAGAAAAATAATGGACCTCAGTAAGTATTTTTTTATTTATTTATTTATTTTTTTTTTATTTTTTTTTGCTTGTAGGAGGGAAACTTATGGGTTTATGTGAGGTGATTCTTCTATTTCGATTTTGTCAGCGCTTACCCAATCAATCGGCCAATCAATCTTTCTTCAGCATGCAGTAAAATCACTAATTGACATTGGTTTAAACAGTGACAGATCCAGTTAAAGCATAAGGGGAGAGTTGAAGAGGGTTGGGGGTGGGGTCCATGAAAGAAGCAGCATTATGGTACAACTTTTTTTATTTTATTTTTGGAACATTTTATGGATCTGACGGTCTACCTCAGTCAGCTGTCATTTCTTCTTTTATCAGTAATTTCTCTATATATGTCATTCATCTTTAACACTTCTGTCCCTCACCTACCACTACCACCCTCCCACCTTGCTTACCACCAGTACTACCCTCCCTACCACTACTACCACCCTCCCACCTTGCTTACCACCAGTACTACCCTCCCTCCCTACCACTACACCACCCTCCCCTGCTTTACCACCAGTACTACCCTCCCTCTCATTTACCACCTACTACCCTCCCCTCACCTACCACCACTACTACCCTCCCCTCACCTACCACCACTACTACCCTCCCCTCACCTACCAGTACTTCTACCCTCTCTCACCTACCACTACCACCTCCCCTCACCCTACCACCACTACCTCCCCTCCTCTACCTACTACCACCCTCCCCTCACCTACCAGTACCTACCTCTCTCCTACCACACTCCCCTCACCTACCACCTACTACCTCCCCTCACCTACCGCCACCTACCCTCCCCCTCACCTACCAGTACTTCTACCCTCTCTCACCTACCCTACCACCCTCCCCCCTCACCTACCACCACTACCTCCCCCTCACCCTACCCACCACTACTACCCTCCCCCTCACCCCGCCACTACCCTCCCCCTCACCTACCAGTACTTACCCTCTCTCCTACCTACCACCTCCCCTCACCTACCACCACTACTACCCTCCCCTCACCCTACCACCTACTACCCTCCCCTCACCTACCGCCACTACCCTCCCCCTCACCTACCAGTACTTCTACCCTCTCTCACCTACCTACCACCCTCCCCTCACCTACCACCACTACTACCTCCCCTCACCTACCACCACTACTACCTCCCCTCACCCCACCACCACCACCCCTCCCCTCCTACCACCACCTACCCTCCTCTCCCACCTACCATCCTCCCCTGCCTTACCAGTACTACCCTCTACCACTTCTACCACCCTCCCACCTTGCCCCCCAGTACTACCTCCTCTCATTTAACCTACTACCCTCCCCTCACCTACCACCACTACTACCTCCCCCTCACCTACCACTACTACCCTCCCCCTCACCTACCACCACTACTACCCTCCCCTCACCTACCAGTACTTCTACCTCTCTCTGCCCTCACCACCCTCCCCCTCACCTACCACCACTACTACCCTCCCCCTCTACCACCACTACCACCTCCCCTCACCTACCTACTACCCCTCCCTCTCACCTACACTACTACCCATCCTCCCCACCTTGCCCCACCACCAGTACTACCCTCCCTACCCACCTACCACCCTCCCACCTTCCCACCACCCTACTACCCTCCCCTCTCATTTACCACCACTACTACCCTCCCCTCACCTACCCACCACCTCCCCTCACCTACCACTACTACCCTCCCCTCACCTACCATACTTCTACCCCTCTCTCGTACCCTACCACCCTCCCCTCACCTACCCTACCCCTCCCCTCACTACCACCACACCCCTCCCCTCCCACCACCACTACTACCCTCCTCTCACCTACCACCACTACCATCCTCCCACCTTGCACCACCAATCACTACCCTCCCTACCACTACTACCACCTCCACCTTGACCCCACCACTACTACCCTCCCTCTCATTTACCACACTACCCTCCCCTCACCTACCACCACTACTACCCTCCCCTCACCTACCACCTACCTCCCCCTCGCTTACCCTCTCTCGTACCACCCCTCCCCCTCACCTACCACCACTACTACCTCCCCTCACCCTACCACCACTACCACCTCCCCCCTCCCACCTACCACCCTACCCTCCTCTCACCTACCCCTACATCCTCCCACCTTGCTTACCACCAGTACTACCTCCCTACCACACTACCACCCTCTCCCCACCTTGCTTACCACCAGTACTACCCTCCCTCCCACCTACTACTACCACCACCTTGCTTACCACCACTACCCTCCCTCTCATTTACCACCACTACTACCCTCCCCTCACCCCTACCTACTACCCTCCCCTCACCTACCACTACCACCTCCCCTCACCTACCACCACTACTACCTCCCTCTCACCTACCTACTACCATCCTCCACCTTGCTTACCACCAGTACTACCCTCCCTACCTACTACCACCCCTCCCCTTGCTTACCACCAGTACTACCCTCCTCCCACCTACCCTACTACCACCCCTCCCACCTTGCTTACCACCAGTACTACCTCCCTCTCATTTACCACCACCACCTCCCCTCACCTACCACCCTACCCCTCCCCTCTCACCTACCAGTACTTCCTCCTCTCACCTACCCTCCCTTACCTACCATCTATACAGTACCTATCTCTTGTGTTTCTCGTGGTAGGTACAGTATGTAGAGTTCATATCTAAGTCGTGTCTAGTAAAAGTGAGCACTAACTTTTTTGTTTGTGCGAATCACGCGGAGCAGGGACGAGGCGGCTGATGCAACAGTGGTTCACGCTAGTCAACAAGAAGAACGCCCTCACTCGCCGTCAGATGCAGCTCAACATCCTGTGAGTATTTGCCACCTTATACTAACTCCATATTGTTGCACTGTGGTCCTCTCATCCTAAGTGATGCATTGATGGGTTCCTCCTCTACTTATATTGACTCGACTCTTTTATGTCCTATTGGTCAAGATATGTATACATTTACTGTTGCTGTGTAACGTGGTGTGTGTGTGTGTGTGTGTGTGTGTGTGTGTGTGTGTGTGTGTGTGTGAAAGGTTATGGGGTTACTCCTGTAATATTGGCAGTAGTTGCATCGTGCTGGGGGAGTGATGGGATTGTGTAGCTAAGCTCTTCAGTTTAGATCGTTACGTTATGTGAACTGAATATTGTTTGATTCTAATGGAGCGTGCAGGCTATAATAAGCAAGACCTTATGGCATGTAATAACCAGGATAAATTTACCATTGATTATCCTCGATCATCTTGGGTTAAGTTGTCTGGGATGAACAGTGATGAACAGTGATCAGCTTATTGGAGAGTGTCACAGTCACTATCATCAGTCAGGTGGAGTTGAACACACTGGTGAACAATCCTCTCCATCATAACACTCCACCAAGTTCTTACCGATGCAATGGTTATATATACTGGATTAAATTTCACATCTAGATTCTTAAAATGATAACAATACAAAAGTTAACCCCAAATCACCTAATTGCTATGACACAGATAGTTCACTATGCCAAGTCATTATTGCACGTGTTGGTGAAGTGGTTTTTTCTCGGCAATTTTACTAAGTGGTATTAACCTCTCGTGGGGTCAGCTGCTGATTACTCTTATTATTACAAGTTGTTGATAGTGTTAGATTAAGAGGCACAAAGACTTGAGATAAAATAGCAATAGAGAAATAGTTTTGGATGGCTGGTAGTAATAGGGTGGAAGGCTCCCTGTAGTACAACACAGTACAACACAGTACAGGTGACACGCCACTGTAGTACAACACAGTACAGATGACCACGGCAGTAACACGGTAGGGTGACCACTACAGTAACACAGTACAGGTGACCACTACAGTAACACAGTACAGGTGACCACTACAGTAACACAGTACAGGTGACCACGGCGGTAACACGGTACAGGTGATACTACAGTAGCTTACGAGTACGGGTGACCACTACGGTAACACCCGGTACGGGTGACCACTACGGTAACACCCCAACAGGTGACCACTACGGTAACACAGTACGGTGACGCCACTGTAGTACAGCACAGTACAGGTGACTACTACAGTAACACAGTACAGGTGACCACTACCGTAACACATACAGGTGACCACTACAGTAACACAGTACAGGTGACCACTACAGTAACACAATACGGGTGACCACTACAGTAACACACAGTACAGGCCGCCACTTTTAATAGTACAGCACGGTACAGGTGACCACACCAGTAACACAGTACAGGTGACCACTACAGTAACACAGTACAGGTGACCACTACCCAGTAACGCATTGGGTGACCGCAGTAACCTGTAGTACAGGTGATGACGCCACTTAACAACACAGTACAATTGACCACTACAGTAACACAGTACAGGTGAGCCGCCACTGTAGTACAGCACAGTACAATTGACCACTACGGTAACGCAGTACAGGTGACCGCCACTGTAGTACAGCACAATTACAGGTGACCACTACAGTAACACGGTACAGGTGACCACTACAGTAACACAATGCAGGTGACCACTACGGTAACACAGTACGGGTGACCCGCCACTGTAGTACAGCGCGCAGTACAGGTGACCACTACAGTAACACAGTACAGGTGACCACTACGCAGTAACAAAGTACAGGTGACCACGACAGTAACACAGTACAGGTGACCACAACAGTAACGGTACAGGTACGACAGTAACACAGTACAGGTGACCACTACAGTAACACAGTACAGGTGACCACTACAGTGGCACAGTACCAGGTGACCGCCGCAATTGGCACAGTACAGGTGACCACTACAGTAACACCAGTACAGGTGACCACTACGGTAACACGGTACGGGTGACCACTACGGTAACACGGTACAGGTGACCACTGCGGTAACACAGTACAGGTGACGCCACTGTAGTACCAGCACAGTACAGGTGACCACTACAGTAACACAGTACAATTTGACCACTACAGTAACACAATACAGGTGACCACTACAGTAACACAGTACAGGTATTGCGCCACTGTAGTGCAACACAGTACGGGTGACCA